CGCGCACCCTCGATCGGCCGATTCTTATTGCGCTTATAAGCGTTATAAGGGTCGGCCAATCTGAATCGGCGCGTGATCGCGCTACTAATTTGAAAGCAATGCCCAGCCACCAAACAAAATTTGGATTCTCATTGTCGTGAACCCGTGCTGTGGGGCTTGGCCGCGGATAACATCGCTAAAAATGCTTGTGATTATCGAAACAGTAATGAAGAACTCGTGAAATATTAATTCAGACCATAATGAGTGGGGCAGTTTTCGGACAAAACCGACATACTCTTTTTCTAAACTCTCTTTATAAGAAACATGGTAATAAGTCTAGATCAGTGATTTTACGATGCAAGATAATTGAGATGTCATACCACCATGTCACATTCTTGAATGATAAAGAGCGCTAACAGTATTTCTTCTAGCTAGCACAAAATTCGCAAATTAGAAAAAAAACCTCTTCAGAACGTCAGAAACAAATCCCTCATTTAGTTTTGCAAAGGATCATTTTCATCCCGCAAAGAACTTTTGAGCATCTCCGTATAGACATAGCAGACCTCTTTCGCAATGAACTGACGGCTTCATTACTGCCTGCGCTTTTGGCAAACTCATCATTTGCACGGCGACCCTTAATCGAGCAACGGGTATTGTCGCAATTCTAGTGATAGAATAGCCATACACGGCATTCCCACTGAGATAGTGTTAGCCGTGATTCTAATTGCACATGATGTTCATCAAAGCAGTCCAATTAAAAAAAAAGGATTTGCGCACTACACAGCTAAATGCAAAGACAAAGTGAGTGAATGGTTAAATTGGTGAGTTCACTTACAGCTTACTGCGAAAAAGCAAAAGAGTTGTATTCTTCTTCTCAACCCATTATTTGCTTACAATACAGGTATTAATGATATTATTTGTATCAGAGGTTCGTCATTCCCATCACTTGATGTGACATCGTTCAGCAGTTTTATTTACGATTGAATTTGTCGCAAAAGTTTCGTTAAACAATTCACGACTGCTCTGTAAACAATGATTAAGTAAGACGGTGAGCGAAGTACAAAAGACAGCTAACTACAAATTAGTTTGTGTTTTTATTAAAAAAATGTTTTCTATGATTTCACCGGCCGTCCAGTATTAACACGAGACGATATAGTCTGTCCTAAAATTATATACCATTGGAATTCATTTTATTGTCAAACAGTCCGTCCCGACGTAAATATTGCTAACATTATGGACGAAGTAAAAAGTCAAACTGTCCACGTAAAAAGACTAATCCCATTCCCGCTGTTCATTGGCTAAATTCCCCTCAAAACTCACTCGAAATCCACTAGAAGAGGAAACGTTTGAATGATGACCTCTCTGCACTAAGATCAAGCCTTCTACAGCTGATGCTACCAACTTTCGAATATCCAATCTCACCTCTTTTGGTGAGAATCACTGACTATATTGAGAAAAGGCCTTTTATCTCTGGTAATTTCTTCTCCTAAGTCGGTTTTTCATCTATATTAACCGTATGGCAGAGTACACCTTTAGGATTTCTTCAAAACAGGATTTAAATGTACATTAGAAGTAAAACAAAATTCTTTTCTTAAATACAACAACTTTCCCACTCATTCTTCTGTCCCTGCTTTTAGGAGAAAACAGTTCGCAACGTTCAGCTCGACGTTTGAGACTTTTTTGTACTATGAAAATGCAATATTGTCAGTGTTCTTTCTAATATTGAACAAAAGTAAACCATCTAGTAGTTTCTTTTTGAATGTCGATCCCTCGTGA